CGCCGGCCCGCCCGCCTGCCGCAGCCCGCAGCCTGCTGCCGCCGCCGCTGCCGCCGCCGCCGCCGCCGCCAGCTTGTCCCTTAGACTGTCAGATAAAGCGGTGGGCCGGTCGGCTGGGCGGTGAGCGCGGCCCGGGCCGGACATGGCGGCGCTCTACGCCTGCACCAAGTGCCACCAGCGCTTCCCCTTCGAGGCGCTGTCTCAGGGGCAGCAGCTGTGCAAGGTGCGCGGGCTGGGGCGGCGGCCGGGAGCTGGGACGCTAGAGGCTCGGCCCGGAGCCCCCTGTTCTGCGGGGCCGCCCGGCGGGGTCCCCCGGGCAGGGCGTGGCAGGCCCGCCTAGCTGAGGCGCCGCACCCGCTCCGCTGGGGGCCAGCGGGGCACGTGGGGGAGTCCCGGGCGCCGTCCAGGCCCCCGCGGCAGGCGTGTCCGGGTGCTTAGCAACCGCGAGGGATTGTTCTCGGACCCCGTAAGGTCTGGGGAGGGGACAGCGGGTCCCCGGCCTGACCCGGACCAGCCGTACCGAGCTCCCTCTTGGGCTGGCTTCCCCGCCGCTGGTTGCACACTGAGGGACCGCCTGCCTTGCCTGGGGACTGAACTCCAGAGTTGGGTGCTGCCTAGGACGAGAGTCTCCAACTCGGGCGCCTCACGGGCACTTTCCGGCCAGTCTGAGAGACGGAGGTAGCGAGGCTTTATAGAAAAGCCCCCCAAATTAAGCGCACGAAGCAAAAGGATTTTTCAGCATCCAGTTGGTGACCTTCGATCCTGGCCCTAATCAGCTACTATTCAGTTTTTACCCTTGAAGGCCCAAGTTCTTTTTTTTTTTTTTTTTTTCGTTTGAGTTGTTTGCATCCTGCTTTGCCTTTTTAAATTAATAGAAGTGCTGTGAGGTGACAGTTAAAAGTCACGAAGCCGTCCTGCGAGTGATTTGAGATAGTCTCAGATAATCCAGAGTTTGTCTCTGGTATGGGTAACTCGTAATTGTATGTCACCGTTGCCTCAAATGGCTATGACTTTGTCACTCTGTTTACTGGGTAGGAGAGAACGCAAGTGTTTGGGTGCCTTTATTTTTTTGGTCTTTATATAAATAAAAATATGTATACATTTGAGATATATATATATACTGACTTTAAGGAAGTTTCATATAGGTCAGCAGTAATGATTTTAACTTAGCATTTCATTTCACAAGTGAACCTGGTCAAAAATCAAACAGTGGAAGTGGCAGAACCGGAACTAGAATCCAGGGCTTCTGATTCCCAGTCTGAGACTCATTCATACATACTTTGGTTTTACAATTTATGACTAGTTCCATATAAATCCTTTCTTAACTTCCACATCAGTGCAGGGCAGTGATGCCAGTATTACAGAAGAGAAAAATAAGGCACAGAAAGTTCAAGTGACTCACACAAGCACAGTGGCTATGCTGGGAATAGTACCCAGGTCTTCTGCCTCCTACTGAAGGCTGTTTCCATTTCTGACTGCCTTTTAAATTATATCCTCATTTCATTTCAGGAATGTCGGATTGCACACCCTGTTGTGAAGTGCACCTACTGTAGGACTGAGTACCAGCAGGAGAGGTACAGTTTTTTATTGACCACGAAAGATGTTTGCAGGCTTTTTCCTCTTAATTAGTTGCTGTTCAATGTACAGATCTGTAATTGATTGCATTATACCCGGATTCTGCAGGTTTTTTTTTTATTATAACACATTGATGAATATAAAACGCACATATTGTTCCCTCATTATTCATGGATTGCTTAAAATTTTTTTCATGACTTTTTAAAGTAATCTCTGCACCCAACAGGGGCTCGAACTCACAACCCCAAGACGGAGTCGAACGCTCCACTGACTGAGCCAGCCAGGTGCCCCTTGCTTAAGTTTTTAAAGTTACTTTTCCGATCCTTGATGATTTTATATTGTGGTTATGATCTTTATGACACTAAGAAACCACAATTGTAAAACATGAGCCTTAGGTTTCAGTATGCTTATACTCAAAGCTTGAAGAATTTATAAGCCAAAAGAAGACACTTTTGGAAATGTGCCTATTCTGATAAAGGGTTTGTTAGCCTTAGCCACATTTGAAATTTACTTGCCTTATGTAAATCTCATTTTTAAAAATGTGAAAAACATTTAGTTGTAAGTGAACACATATCTTTGGGAGACTTTTTTAACAGCAGCAGAGTGGTTTATTGGTTTTCAATAGCAGCAAAGTTGTTTATGGGTATAGTTAAGTTCTGTGGGCCTGCAACTGTAGGTCATAGTTCCTTAAAGCAGGGTGGGGTCTATTTGTTACCTCACACATAGACCTAGAAACCTAATTTTAATCAGCCTTATTTCAATTCTGGGAACATTTTCCCCAACATTTTATTATGGATATTTTCAAACCAGAAAAAGTTGAAAGAATTAAACAGTAAACACTCATATACCTACCACTTCAATTCTACAGTTTACATTTACTTTATGTGCATCATCTATCATCAATGTATTTTTTTTAATTTGAGAGAGAGAGAGCGGGGGAGAGGGGCAGAGGGAGAGAGAGAATTCCAAGGGGGCTCTATGTGCAGTGCGGATCCCTATGCAGGGCTTGATCTCAAGACCCTGTGATCTGAACTGAAATCAAGATTTGGGTGCTCAACTGGGGCGCCTGGGTGGCGCAGTCGGTTGAGCGTCCGACTTCAGCCAGGTCACGATCTCGCGGTCCGTGAGTTCGAGCCCCACGTCAGGCTCTGGGCTGATGGCTCGGAGCCTGGAGCCTGTTTCCGATTCTGTGTCTCCCTCTCTCTCTGCCCCTCCCCTGTTCATGCTCTGTCTTTCTCTGTCCCAAAAATAAATTAAAAAAAAAAAAAAACAAAAAACAAAAACGTTGAAAAGATTTGGGTGCTCAACCAATTGAACTACCCAGGCGCCCCTTCAGTGTATTAATCCATCTTATTTACGATTCATTTTAAAGTTGTGGACATCAGTATACTTGATCCTAAATACTTAAGCATGCATTTCGTTAACAAAATTTGATATTTGTTTACGGTCCTTTATTTTTTTAGAGGTAAAATTTGTGCACAGTGAAATGCTCAAATCTTAAGTACATCATTCGATGAGTTTCACAGACAGTATATGGATCTGTAACCCTCAACCCTTTAAAATATAGAACATTACCGTCAGCCCAGAGTCCTCTCATGCTTCATCCCACTCAATCTCCACTCCTCTTGCTTCCCCCGTGCAACTACTGTTCTGATTTTCCTTCCCACCGTAGATCAGTTTTACCTGTTTTAGCCCTTCATAGATATGGAAACATATAAAACATAATCTAGAAGCTTTATGTTTCAGCTTTTATATTTGGGTCCATGATCCACCTTGAATTAATTTTTGGGTGTAGGGTGAGATACGAATTTACACCATACATAAAAATTGATTCAAGATGGAGGCACCTGGCTGGTTCAGTTGTTGGAGCACGCAACTCTTGATCTCGGGGTTGTAAGTTCAAGCTGCAGGTTGGGTGTAGACATGACTTAAAAAAATAAAATCTTAAAAAAAAATGATTCAAGATGGATCATAGGAGTGGTTTTCCTTTTTTTCTAAAGTTTATTTATTTATCTTGAGAGAGAGAGCACAAGTCGAAGAGGGGCAGAGAGAGGGAGAGAGAGAATCCGAAGCAGGCTGTGGCGCAGTCGGTGTGCAGAGTCCGACTTGGGGCTTGAATCCAAGAAACCGTGAGATTATGACGTGAGCTGAAATCAAGAGCCAGACACGTGACTGAGCCACCTGCGTGCCCCGAAATGACTTTTCTTTGTTTTCCAAGATGTCAGGAGCATTTGTATATATTGATACATATAAATCCCACTTCTTCAGTAGTAAATAGAAGTATAAATTAAAAGTTAACATTCCAGAATCACCGATGTGAATCCTTTTTCTAGAGGTTTCTTTCGATACGCCTCACATCTTGTCCTGTCTCTTTAAAATGGCAGAAAATGGAAAATATTTTACTTGAATATCTCACTTTAATTTAAATGTTTTGTACTTTGAGGTCTTTCTTTGTTTTAACTTTATGGTCACTTTTATAGGACTTTATGGGAAAATAATCACAAAATAGCTAATAAGACTGCATTTTTATGTGATTTTATTTTCAGCCCCAGAATATTGTTTCAACTTTTCTTGCACATCAAGCATTTATTGTACCTGTCTTTGTGAAGAATTAGACTTTATTTGAAGATGATTTTTTTCCCCTAAGGCAGTTTATCAGCTCAGATATTTAGATAATACAGGTCTCTGGACCTTCACAAGACCGAAGACGTTTTTATTTTTATCCGTGCTTAGTTCTTAGAGAAATTGGAAATATTGACAAAATATTTAGTCCTAGCATCCATTTCCCCACATCTGGGATTTTCATATGCTTTTACTTACAGAGGAGGGTGTAGACAGAGTAAAGTCAACATGAATAGAATCTCTGAGTTAGTATTCCAAACGCATATACTTCATTCCTCACCTCAAGTTTCTCAGCTGTTCATCTAAATTGAGAATTAACTGCTAGTCCGTTTCAGTCTAACATAATATTCTTTTGAGGGTCCTGTCCATATTTGCTAGTTTTGTTTAGTGATACTTAGAGATGTGATACTCAGAAATAACTCACTGTCCACTTTAACCAAAACCTCATTTTATCTGAGCTAATAAAATTAATAACCATAAAATAATAAATAAAAGAGTTAGTGGCCAAATACTTAACTTTCAGTTAACCAGGTGTCCAGGCCAAATATCGCCTTGGCACTTAGCAATGAGCAAATTCTGTGGGCTTAAGGAGGAATCAGTTTTCAGATATTGTAAGTGAAGCAACTTTTTTCTCATAAAAGCATTGTGTCTCTTTTTTCCTTAACAGTAAAACCAATACAATATGCAAGAAGTGTGCACAGAATGTGCAGTTATATGGAACAGTAAGTAGAGTTTCTCTGTGCCTAACAGTGAGTACTTGGGTCTCTTGGAACCTTAACATTCTGTGGATTATTTATATAACTACCATATTTTTATTAGAATATCTTATGTGTAAATACTTTCTCAGAAAAGTTTATCTAGCCCTTGAGCTTTTGAACCTAGCTAATACTTACTGAGAAGTTCTGTGTTTATGTTCATGATGGCGGGATTGTCGTTATAATTTTCCTTGAGAGCTTCGGAAACCAGTATGGAAAGCGGATGGGAAAGATGGATCCTACAATGTGACGTCTTTGTTTGGTAGCAGTTGACTGTTCGTTTTGATGACTTTTTTAGGGGGGAGGGCATCTCTCTGTGTTAGGGTTCTATATTATGTCCTTGCAGGCATTCTCCCAGCCTGTTTATACGGTGATAATGGCAAAGAGGCCTTTCCAGAAATTTGGAAGCACTTACTGGTTTCTCCAAAGAACTGGTTCTGTTGAATTTCTTACAGAAGTCCCAGCATATACTCCAGTGGGGTTTTGTTATTTGTTAATTTATTTGTTTTAAAAGCAATAGTCCTGTGCAGAAAATCACTTTACCTAGTATTAGGAATTGGGCTTCATTTGATCAGTGTAGAAGGAAATTTATGAAGTTGGGAACACATTTTTACAATGACTGATGAACTGTATAATAGGAATTATTGCTTTAAAAAATGCAGTGGCATTTTATAATATACTTAGTTGACCCTTTTTTTCCCCCTCTCTTTCAGCCCAAACCTTGTCAGTATTGCAACATAATTGCAGCATTTATCGGCAACAAATGCCAGCGCTGCACAAATTCAGAGAAGAAGTATGGACCACCCTATTCATGTGAACAGTGTAAGCAGCAATGTGCATTTGACAGGAAGGATGATCGAAAGAAGGTAAATCTCTGTGTTTTGTTCTGTTGATTTTTTTTTTTCCTTTCTGAGAAATTAAGTTTGGTCAATTGTGTCAAAAAGAAATCACAACAGGGCTGCTGGCTGGCTCAGTCAGTAGAGACTCTGGATCTCATGGTTGTGGGTTTCGGCCCCATGTTGGGTGTAGAAATCACTTAAAATCTTTAAAAAAAAAAAAAAAAAAAAGGACGTATAACAAAGAAATCTCCGTTCCTGTCCTAGTTGTTCTTGAACTTGAAGATTTTCAGCCTTTGTTTTCATTTAGCAAAGGTGGACCATTATATTCTTTAAAAAAAAAAAAAAATATATATATATATATATATACATAAAAAATATATATATACATAAAAAATATATATATACATAAAAATATATATATGTATGTGTGTGTGTGTATATATATATATATATATATATATTTTTTTTTTTTTTTTTTTTTTTAAGTAATGTCTACACCCAACGTGGGGCTTAAACTTCTGACCCTGAGCTCAAGAGTCACATGTTCTGACTGAGCCAGCCAGGCATCCCTGGACCATTATATTCTAATATTACATGAGCTGGTATTTCATGAGAATCTTAATTAACAGTGATCTGTACCCTGTATAAGTAAAGCGATGATTGGCAAAATTCTATAGAACTCTGTGAAGGAGAGATTGTGACTTAGGATACGCTTGTATTACCAGTTTCACTATCTGACTGTTTCAAGTGTTTCTATCTGTTGAAGTTAAAAATTCCAAGATGACATAGAGGAGAGCTCTGGGTGGAGTGATGGTACCTTAGTAAACTAAAAATGGTTTAGATTTGTTCTGTTTAAAACCCTCCAGTGGCTTCCAGCTGCACTTAGAACAAATCCCAACCCCCTTCCCTGATGTACATTGCCCATACCTGCCTCTCAGTCTCTCCTGACATTAACGCCTCCTGCCTGTCACCTTGTTTCAGCCACACTGACCACCTTTTAGCCCTTCAAATGTGCCAGTTTCATTCCTACCTTTGCACTGGCTATCATTTTGCCTGATAACACCCATCAGTCTTAATTGGTTCCTCATGCTCAGATGCTACTTCCTCACAGAGCCCCTTTACTAACTCACTCACCCCCTATCATATTACCCTGTTTTGTTGTCTTCACAGCATAACATTGTGAGAAATTATCTTGTTTATTTGCTTATGTTTGTCCACCTTCACTGGAACGTGAGCTCCTTGTCCATCTTGTTCTCTGCCGCATTTCCAGTGGCCTGGCACATAGTAAGTGCCCAAAACAAACATACATATATACATACACATATACACACACACAGGTACACACAACACACACACATACATATATATGTATATATATATATTTACTTGTTTTGATAAGAGTCACACTTTATCGAGAACTATTTCTTCCCCCTCTTTTAGTCGTCTTACCTGACACTGTCAAAATATTAATCTGAAATATATCTCCAGCTGACTGTTTTTTACTGAGAAAAACTGTGCTTCTCATTTTCTACTTTTTAAAAAGTAAGTGAAGTGGGGCACCTAGGTTACTCAGTCGGTTAAACATCCGACTTCGGCTCAGGTCATGATCTCATGATCTCATTGTTCATGAGTTCAAGTCCTATGTTGGGTGAGCTCGAGCCCCGCTTTGGGCTCTGCACTGACAGTGTGGAGTCTGCGTGGAATTCTCTCTCTCTTGCTCTCTCTCTCTGCCCCTTGTAGGATACTCTTTCTTCCTCTCTCTCTGCGTCTCGCTCACTCATACTCTCTCTCTTTCTAAAATAAATAAATAATTAATTTAAAAAAGTGAAGTGATTATGTATTTTTTAAATTGAGGTATAATCAACATATATCAGTTTCAAACGTACAGCATAATGATTTGATATTTGTATATATTGGAAAGTGATCACCACAATAAGTCCAGTAAATATCTGTCACCATAGACAGTTATGGGATTTTTTTTCTTGTGATGAGAACTTTTAAGATCTACTCTCTTAGCAACTTTCAAATATGCAATATAGTATTACTAACTATAGTCACCATACTGTACATTACATCCCCATGACCTATTTATCCTTTAACTAGAAGTTTATACCTTTTGACTACTTTCACCCATTTCGCCTACCCACCCCTCCCCACCTCTGGCAACTAGCAATCTCTTCAGTAAATATTTTTTTAATGAAGGAATGCAGTACAGAAACTTTTTCAGTGTCCAGAGGTACTTTTCAGAGATGCTTAGGCTCATGAGAACTGACTCCTGTGAACCAAATTCATTAATTTATCATGGGAGGATATTAACTCTCCAGTGACCAGAATACTCCTGCCTGCCAACCAGAGCACCTTTTCCCTGAATTAAGATACTGGAGAAGCTGAATTAGGAATCACAAGGTAGCATATGATGATAGTCGGAGTATAAGCTCTGCAGTCCTACTGACCTGGGCTAGCTGAATGGTCCTGGACGAGTTACTTACTCTTATTAGGCATCAATGTCATCACCTTTCCAGTGGGAATCACAGTAGCTGCTGAATTCACAAGGACATAGGGGGATTTAATTGAGGTTGAGGACTTGCCTAAGTTCACACACCTCCTAAGTGGCAGAATTGGGACTTAACCCAGAGGTCCGGAGCTCCCAGTAGCTCCGTTCTGTACTACATTCTCTCTTCTTCATGTTTGTCTCCTTGTCTTTCAGGTAGATGGGAAATTGCTGTGCTGGCTGTGCACACTGTCCTACAAACGGGTCCTTCAGAAGACCAAAGAGCAGAGGAAACACCTGAGCAGCTCTTCCCGTGCCAGCCACCAAGAGAAGGAGCAGTATAGTCGACTGAGTGGTGGCAGCCATTATAACAGGTATCCCCAAGGTGCATGAGATAGGACTAGAGGTACCTCTTGGTCAGACGGAATACACAATTAGCCATGGAAGAAACCATTTGGTATCAATTTTCCTCTTCTTTTCTCTCTAGTTACTAGCCTTAGGAGGAATCTCCTTTGTCACATTGGACAGTTCATGTATCTTCCAAGTGCCAGAGAGATTTCCATAAGGTATTAGGATTTACTGACTTGGTTTGTCTTGTGTCTGGAAAGTTTGTGAAATTGTTCTGCTTTGACTATAATGCTCCCCTCACCCTTGGAGTGGATTATCTCCTTAGAAGACTGGGCATGTCACTTTCTGAGGGATGCAGCTTTTTTAAATGCATAGTTGGCCAGGAGGTTGGTAGCTGTTCTAGGTTTGTCCTGGTGGGAATCCAGTCAAAAAGATGTCCTTTCATTGTTGTCTTAAGCTTCCTTTCAGAGTATCTGTAATGTTGTTAAGAGTTCTGGCTTTCGATTGAATCTTGACTCTTCCAGGTTCTCTGTGTGGGATCTTGGGCAAGCTTGTTCATCTTTAAAATAGGGAAATAATAATATTACCTCATGGAATTGTGGAGATAAATTATATAGTGCATGAATAGTGGTTTGCTTTATAACTGGCATATAGGAAGCATTCAATATATTTTAATTACTGTTTGTTATTGTTACCATTATGATTTTGTTTGTTCATTATTATTAAGTACTCTCATGGGCCAGTGACTCTGCTAGGAAAGCAGAGATGAATAAAAGAATCATGCTGCTCACCAAGAGTATGCAGTCTGGTAGGGAAGACAGACCTGTAATCAAATCACTGCATTATAATTCGATGAGCACCACAGTGGAAACATCAAGATGCAGGCATGAGAGGCAGTAGTAATTAACTGCCTTGGGGAGTCAGGCAAGAGAGGCTCCAAGAAGAGCTGGGTTGGGGCTGGATTTTAGGATGAGTTGGAATCATCAGATCACGGATGGGCAGAAGCATCCTAGGCTGAGGGAATAGTGTGTGCAGAGAAATGGAGGGCGTAAGACCACACGGCCCTGAGGAGTTGCAGGTCCTTTTATGTTGCTGGAGCTTATGTTTGGGAGCCAGGGAATGGGAGAGAAAGGGATTTTGAAAACGTTAAGGAGCATGAACCTGACCCTGATTATTGTGGAGAAAACATTGGAAGAAAAAGAGACCGGAGGCTGGTTAAGAACCTGTTTTGTAAGAGTCCACAGTAAGAGGTATTAATATTAGAATCTCAACTGAGGCCATGGCACCAGAGATCAAAGAGGCAGATTCATGGGGTGCCTGGGTGGTTTAGTTGGTTAAGCATCCGATTTCGGCTCAGGTCATGATCTCCCGGTCCATGAGTTTGAGCCCCACGTCGGGCTCTGTGCTGACAGCTCAGAAGCCTGGAGCCTGCTTCAGATTCTGTGTCTTCCTCTCTCCCTGCCCCCTTCCCTGCTCGTACTCTCTCTCTCAAAAATAAAAATAAAAAAAGAGGCAGATTCAGGAAGATACTTTAGAGGGAGAATTATGAGAAACTTAGATAATTTAGTGAACAGGTAGATGGGCAGGAGTTGGGTGAGTAAAGAATCATTCTCAGGTTTCTTACTTGGATGAATAGGTATATTCTTTAACTGAAAGAGAATACAGGAAGAAAAGAGAAGTTCAGTTTTTTTTTTTTTTTAAAGTTGAGGTTAGAGCATCAAGAACAATTTTGTGGGAGCTTTAGCCTAAAACTCAGAAGAAAGGTTTGGAGCACATAAGAGTCAGTAGGAATAGAAGTTATTATAAAGTACAGATTCCTGCAACTTCATCCCAGAGTTTAATTCAGTAGGACCTAGGATAGAGTCCATGAATCTGCATTGTTTTACAAACATCCTGGATGATTATGGTACAGGTGATCTGGGGAACACCATCTCCAGCCCATATGATAAGTAGTTGTTTAAACCATGCTCTTTGATGATAGAATTCAAGTTGGAGGCTGAGAACAGAATTCTAGAAGCACTCAAGAAGAATGGAGTGAATGTTTGCAAACCATATACCTAATAAGCGGTTAATATAAAAAATACATGAAGAATTCATACAACCGAATAACAAAAAAAGCGCAAATAATCCAATTAAAAAATGGGCAAAGGACCCGAATAGACATTTTTCCAAAGAATATATACAATAGATACATACAGAGTTGCTAAACATTGCTAATCATCAGGGAGATGCAAACCAAAACCACAATGAAATATTACCCCACATCTGTTAGGATGGCTGTTATCAAAAAGTCAAGAGGGGTGCCCAGCTGGCTCAGTTGGTGGAGCATGAGATTCTTGATCTCAGGGTTGTGAATTGGAGCCCCACTTTGGGTGCAGAGATTGTGAAAGGAAGGAAGGCAGACAGACAGACAGACAAAAGATAACAAATGTTGGCAAGGTTGTGGAGAAAAGGGAACCCTATACACCATTAGTGGGAAGGTAAATTGGTGCAACCATTGTGGAAAACAGGATGGTGGGTCCCCAAAAAATTGAAAACAGCTACTATATATTTGATCTAGCAATCATTTATGAGTATATATATCCCAAGGAAATGAAATCAGTATCTTGAAGAGCTATCTGCACCCCCAGGTTCATTGCAGCTTTATTCATAATAGCCAAGATATGGAAACAATATAAATGCCCTACAATGAATGAACGGATAAAGAAAATGTGATACACACACACACACACACACACACACACACACACACACACACATACACATACAGTTTGTGGTATCACTTTTACAAGGAATCTTTTTAAAAAGCCAGTTTCATAGAAACAGAGACTAGAATGATGGTTGCCAGGGGCTGGGGAAGGAGGAAATGGGGAGATTTAGGTCAAGGGGTATAAACTTTAAGTTGTAAGAAGAGTAAGTTCTAAGGATCTGATATACAGCAGAGTGGCTATTCTTAATATGATACTATATACTTGAAAATTGCTGGGGCGCCTAGGTGACTCAGTCGGTCAAGCATCCGACTTCAGCTCAGGTCATGATCTCACGGTTCGTGAGTTTGAGCCCCATGTCGGGCTCTGTGCTGACGGCTCGGAGCCTGGAGCCTGCTTTGGATTCTGTGTCTCCCTCTCTCTCTGTCCCTCCCCTGCTCATGCTCTGTCTCTGTCTCAAAAATAAATAAAAACATTAAAAAAAAATTGCTGAGAGTAGATTGTAAGCATTCTTGCCATAAAAAAAAAAAAGTTATGTGAGGTGATGGATGTGGTAATTATCTTAATCTTGGTGATTATTCCATAACATACACGTTTATCAAAATGTTATGTTGTACACTTTACATGTATACAATTTGTCAGTTATTTCTCAGTAAAGTTAGAAGGGGGGTTAAGGATGGCATGGTCAGTGGTATCAAATATTGAAAAGAGATCAAGAAAGAAAGGGTCTTACTCGAGGGTGAACTCATTGAGTCTATAACTGATTTTTAGTGGTTTGTGGGACTCAGATATCAGTAGATTCACAGAACTATCCTGAAGAAGAACTGGATTAGGGGTTCAACCTGGTATCTAGTCCTCGCTTCACTATTGACTATATATCCTTGGGAAGGTCACTTAAACTTGATGAGCCTCAGTTTCTGCAGAGTAGAAATAGTGCCTTGTATATACCTCACAGACTTGGAAGATGTGCATGAAACATTAAATGTGAAAGTACTTTCTTAAACTGTAGGGTAGGTTTTACTTCTTATTAAAAATTTAAAAAACATTTTTTTAACGTTTATTTATTTTCAAGAGACAGAGCATGAGCAGAGGAGGGGGAGAGAGAGAGGGAGACACAGAATCTGAAGCAGGCTCCAGGCTCTGAGCCGTCAGCACAGAGCCCGATGCGGGGCTCGAACTCACAAACCATGAGATCATGACCTGAGCTGAAGTCTGACTCTTAACCGACTGAGCCACCCAGGCACCCCACGTCTTATTAAAATTTTATTGACTCTGTTCCCATAGTTGTTAATAAAGCAGATAATATTTAATTAAAGGTAAGAATTTTGGAGGTCTCTGGAAGTGAGCTACCCATGCATCCAGGACCTATGAAATCAACACCTCAGTGGATTTTAATAGTCAAGAATAATTAGCTCTTTCATGGAGGAGCTGTGATATTACATTGGTCCTGTTTGAACAAACTTTTGTTGTGATGTTTTATAAATCTTTGATTTCTAATTTGTGTTTCTCTGTTTTTGCCATTAAAAGCCAGAAAACACTTTCTACATCTTCAATTCAAAATGAAATCCCAAAGAAAAAATCCAAGTTTGAATCAATCACAACCAACGGAGACAGGTAAGCCAATTGGTATGTGTGCATGCTTCCATTTGAGTTACTGCATATACAGTTCCTGAAACAGGAATACATTCCAGGGTGTGCCTTGGACCTAGTCTCGGGTTGTTATTGAGCCTCCGAGGGTCACTCCGTTAGCCACTTGATATCTTATGAATAAGCAAGCAGTGCTGCTATTTGTTTATAACTCTAATCTTGTCATTAAAAGACAAGCACATATAACGATTTAATAGCAACTGAATTCTGCGATCAACATATAACTCTCTCACACTAATTCTAAGAAGTCAGGAGCTATATGCTTTTCATTGTGTTCTGTGCCTGTGGCCTCCTCCATGCAGGGCCAGAGTTGGTATTGAGAGGTGGAGCAGAGACAAGTTGGGAGTTAAGGCAGTGTTCTTAGTCTAATTCATGCTTCCTTAGCATGCAGAAAGCCCAGGGCAGCTACTGAATCAGCAGAGAATGAGATGCATTTGAATATTTTTGCTGCATTTTAAGCCTGTCTTAAAAGCATATATTTACTCCTTGCCTTCCTCTCTCCATCTGAATGATGCTTCCTCTTGCAAGCTGCTCTGTCCTAATATCCAGAGTGTCCCGTCTGTGTTGGTACAGTGGGCTGCTTCCCAGCTGAGTCTTGGGGCCAACCATTTTCCTGTTTCTCCAGGCCCAGGCATCCTGCAGTGAGACACTGGCATACTGTTCCTCCAAAGCCTTGAAATCCTCTCCATTCTGAAAACTCCCAGTGTCACTTCTCCCTCCCAGCAGGTGGTGGGAATGGGAGTAGACTTAGCACATAGGCTTGCCAGGACCAAATTTCATCTAGGGGTACACAAAGCATCTATGAAGTTTATTCTTTACTGTTACCTTTTTTATTAAGTTGATTTCAGATTCTACAAGGTACCTTTTTATCCACTAGTATCATTGATTTTATACTTGTTAAATGGAACCTTCTGGAAATGTTTAACTTGGATGTTCAAATTATATGGCGAAAGGAAACATAAAGACCATCAGCTTCACTGTTACTTGAGCAGATATCCTGACCATCATGAAGATTGTCCCATCACCCCTGCCAGCATGCCTGATCCTACAAAAACCATATCAAGGAGTGAACCTTTCTGAATTCCCTGCCTTTATAAAGGTCTAAGCCAAGAGGTGCCTGGGTGGCTCAGTCAGTTGGGCTTCCGACTTCAGCTTAGGTCATGATCTCGTGGTCCGTGAGTTCGAGCCCCGCATTGGCCTCTGCCCACAGCTTGGAACCTGGAGCCTGCTTCAGATTCTGTCTCCCTCTCTCTGCCCCTCCCCCACTCATGCTCTGTCTCTCTCTGTCAAAACTAAACTTTAAATAAATAAATAAATAAATAAAATAAAGGTCTAAGCCAAGACCCACAGCTTTTAGATTCATCATTTCTGTTTTGTGCTCACTTATGACCCAGGCTGTATTTGAATGACCTAGAAAAAGTGCATTCTTAACTTTAGTTTAACCAGCCAGTCCTTAAAGCTTACCTTCTTTTAGATTATTTGTTCTTAAGGTACTGCCATTATTCTTGCTGTCCATTGCTATGGATATACAAAGCTAAAAACATAAGTTTTCTGTTCAGAGTGATTTTTTAAAAATGTTTATTTTGGGGGAGAGAGAGAGCATGAGTGGGGGAGGAGCAGAGAGAGAGGGAGAGAGATAATCCCAAGCAGGCTCCTCACTGTCAGTGCAGAGCCTGACGCAAGGCTCAGTCCCATGACTGGGAGATCATGACCTGGGCCAGAATCAAGAGCCAAATGCCCACCCAACTGAACCACCCAGGTGCCCCTGTTGAGAGTGTTTTATCACTTCTAATCACCAGCAATGATTGTTTTCCTCAAGTAGGAAATACTGATCCTTACCATGGTCTTTAACAATCTCATCTGGAAAAGATCTAAAAGATCATTTTTTTCTTGAAATGTAGATGCTAGTTTATTAAAATAACTTGCCCTGATAACTTGAAAACTTGGAAAACTTTTCTGCTTCTACAAAAGTTTTTTTCATATACATACAAGTTCCATTTGAATGTTCCTGCATTAGCAGTCTTAACTTACCAATTCCACTTGTTTGCATTTCTTTTAAAAGTTCATAGCAAAAGTTAAGTGACATTTTTCCTTTATTTTTACTTTTGTGTAGTTTTTTCTTTCTTTTCCCTCACTTTGAAAACATTCTGACCAGCTGTTTTTTGATGGTCCTTTTGTAATGTTATGCAAACCCCCATTTTTTTTTTTTTTTTTTTTTTTTTTTTTACTGAATATCTATCTTGAATTCAGTTCTGTACCAAAGGTTACCGGTCTTGTTTCTGAACTATCTATTATAGCCGCCTCTTAGCTTTCAGTTGATCGTAGTCCACTTTCCTGGCCCCACTTTGAAAATATCCATATAGGCTCTTGTCCTTTCATTGTTATCCCCTTTTCTGCAAGCTGCTCTCTAACAGCTTTCCATTCTCCTTTCTATTCTACCATTCTCCACTCTTACTATTTTTTTTTAATGTTTATTTATTTGAGAGAGAGAGAGAGAGCATGAGCAGGGAACGGGCAGAGAGAGAGGGAGACACAGAATCTGAAGCAGGCTCCAGGCTCTGAGCTGTCAGCATAGAGCCCAACGCGGGGTTCGAACCTACAAAACTGCAAGATCATGACCTAACCCGAAGTCGGACACTTAACCAACTGAGCCACCCAGGCGCCCCTCCACTCCTATTTTTTAAATATTGAGACATATTTGAGTTTTTCCCCCTCTTTCTTTCTCCATTAGTCTTCCATATTGTACTGCGAGAATGCATCACTTTAGGTTTTTTATAAAACCTTTTCTCAAATAGCTTTATACTTCTACAATGCCTCTGGGGGCGCCTGGGTGGCTCAGTTGGTTAAGCGGCCGTCTTTGGCTCAGATCATGATCTCACAGTTCATGGGTTTGAGGCCCACATCAGGCTCTGTGCTGACAGTATGGAGTCTGCTTGGGATTCTCTCTCTCTGCCTGCCTGTCTGCCCCTCACCAGCTTGTGTGCGCACATGCACGTGCGGGTGCATGCTTTCTCTCTCTCTCTCTCTCTCTCAAAATAAATACATAAACTGAAAAAAAAATTTTAAATGCCTTGGTCATTTTTATTTAGTATCCCGCAAAATTCATAGCCTCCCTCTCATATTTTCTAGTTTGCTGAAATCGTAGCAAAAACTTTAAGTTTATGTGTTTGGAGAGAGAGAAAGACTGCACATGTGCAAGAGAGGCAGAGAGAGAGACAGAGACAGAGACAATCCCAAGCAGGCTCCATGCTGTCAGTGCAGAGCCTGACATAGGGCTCTCTCTCATGAAGTGTAAGATTTTTTTTTTTAATGTTTATTTTTGAGAGACAGAGGCAGAGAACGAGCAGGGGAAGGGCAGAGAGAGAGGGAGACACAGATGAAGCAGACTGCAGGCTCTGAGTTGTAGACACAGAGCCCGACGTGGGGCTCGAACCCAAGAACCCTGAGATCATGACCTGAGTCGAAGTCGTATGCTTAACCGACCGAGACACCCAGGTGCCCCTCGAACTAAGATCTTGACCTGAGCCGGGTTCGAGAGTTGGATGCTTAACTGGCTGAGTCACCCGGGTGCTCCATAGCAAGAACTTTTCACTTTGAGAAAGATCTGAGTTCATTTCTAGCTTTCCTTCCCTGAGAAAACGTACCAGCTACTTCTTGATCTATTTGTTTGTTGTTCCATTGGTGATAAGGCATACCTGTTGATTGTTTCTAAAGGATATTCCTTTCCTTTCTTTGTAGTTTTTTTTTTTAAGAGTCTTTAAGTAATCTCTACACCCAATGTGGGGCTCAAGCCTACCACCCTGAGAATAAGGGTCACATGCTCCGTGAACTGAGCCAGCCAAGTGCCCCTCCTCATAAAACCCTAGTTTTATTTTATTCTCCATTTGAAATATGCCTGAAAAATTAGACGTACTTTGTGTGGCCTTACCCTTTTGTTGGAGATGCTTGGAAAGAGACTGGATCTGATTTTCTGCCTTGCTAACCTAGCCGTCTGTTTTCATTTGGTTTCCAACAGTTCTTATTAGTCAGAAGTTAGAGAGTTAGAAAGGTCAGGCCCTAACAGGACAGACATGACTGGTTTTGTCAACAATAGTGGTATGGGAAAAGTCCTCTCTTGAGAAGCAGGTGGGCAGAGCATTAGAAGCTTTCGGGAGCACAAGATTTATGCTAGCCCATTACACTGTTTCATTTGTCACTCTAGTTATGGGTTTAAAGAAAATCTTTTGGATTGGGGGAAGACAGTCCCTTGGCAGGTATTGAAACTGGTAGAGGAGACATTGATGGGTCCTTTCAGCATTTTCTCCTGCTTACCTTGTTTTATTATATTGCTTTTACTTTTCGTCACCCAGTAATTCTGCATATTCATCAGTTAAGAAAGCACCGGTTCATTCTTCTTCTGATGTTCTTCTTACATGTCTCATATAGACCAAGAGAGAATATTCTTAGCAGTCAACCATGTCTTCTAGCCATAGAAATGTTTGACTTGGTAACTGAGGATGTTCAGTGATTCCACTTGCTATTTGGAGTTTCTACCCATGTAGAGAAATGCTGGTTATTAGCTGTAGTTCAAGATGAACTAGAGTCATTGCTGTATTGATCTAGGGAGTCGCGAATCAATATTCCACTGACTGCTTAGGAAAAACAGGTTTGTGTTTTACTTTAAAGGTTGCCCTGGGAAGGGTAAGGAGGTTTCTTTGGGTAGTCTCTAGAGAAGGGCAGGACTTGACTCTTATGGCAGTGATTCCTTAACTTGTTTTGGGCCTAAGACATCTCTGACCAACCAGGGAACGCTGTGGATCCTCACCCTAGAAACCATCCATTGTATGTATACACCGAATTCTATATGCAACTTCAGGCGTTCACAGATTCCCTGGAACTAGGCCTGGTTACAAAACTCTCCAGAAAAGACAGAGTTCACCTGGCACTTTAACAAAATGAAGTGCTCAGGTACTGTTACTGAGAAGAATCTGTTGAAACCCCAGGTTATGGTGTGACGCTGGATTTTATCACTGTTTCTTTCCTGATTATCACTGGATTCTTGATATTGGAAGTGGTAGTCAACAGGCCAGTTGCAGTGTAGGGGAAGTTGGCTTCCTTCCTATTAATTTCATCTTTTTCTAATTTTTAAAAGGGACTGACTGCTCCTGGAATGGGATGCAGCAGCTTCTTAACAGCTGCGCCATACATGGTGCTTTGGAGCAGAACATAAAGAACCAAGATCTGATGATCGCCTCACCTCTGCAGTTTAGCAAATGCTATTGAGTGTGGCGTGTGTGAAGCATTGTACTTCCTGCTGGGAATTCAGATAGTTGCTCCTACTCTGGAGCTTGTAGTCAAGTGGTCCATGGTGTGTCCTCAAGTGAAAAAAGGTTTATCCCTCCAAGTTATGATTTTTCCCTCTCCATTTTTCTACTCAGCTTTTCCCCAGACCTGGCCCTGGACTCACCAGGCACTGACCACTTTGTCATCATCGCCCAACTGAAGGAAGAAGTGGCCACTCTGAAGAAGATGCTGCATCAAAAGGATCAAATGATTTTAGAGAAAGAGAAGAAGGTACAGTTTTGTTAATGCCTCTCAGGCCAGAATGGTGCAAGGGTAAGCATGTGGTACCATAGGGCATGGTGCTAACTCTGTTTAACTGATACTTATTTGGTACTGACCACTGAAGCTTTGAGGGATCCAGTGTCAAGGTTGGGGTATCGTGGGAGGGGCTTACTATCTGCCAAGGTGACTCGTGATCTGCTGTTACCGTGAGAGAGAACCCTCACTCTGCCTTGGTCAGGTGCATTTAGAAAGTTGACTTTTCTAGGGGCGCCTGGGTGGCGCAGTCGGTTAAGCGTCCGACTTCAGCCAGGTCGCGATCTCGCGGTCCGTGGGTTCGAGCCCCGCGTCGGGCTCTGGGCTGATGGCTCAGAGCCTGGAGCCTGTTTCCGATTCTGTGTCTCCCTCTCTCTCTGCCCCTCGCCCGTTCATGCTCTCTCTCTGTCCCAAAAATAAATAAACGTTGGAAAAAAAAATCTTTTAAAAAAAGAAAGTTGACTTTTCTCAACATTTGGAGGAAGTTTCACTCATGTTTACCAGGCTTACAGAGGTGATGTGTAAAACTACAGTGCCCCCCTTAATTCACAGGGGGGCATAACTGACTGCTACATTTCTCAGCATGAACTGCCTTGGAAAGTTGTAATCAAAAGGTGCTGAATGAACATGGAGTTGGGACAAGAGGAGGTGGTTATGTAATTGGAATTTTTAATGCTCTCAGGCTGAGAACCTGATACCTCCGTCTCTGGTATTGGGATGGCCATGCCCGTGAGACAGTAATACTTAAAATATGTGGGCCAGGTCTCCCTCCTTCCTGGACAATGGTCAGGTAGGCCTTCCCCCATGACTCTTACATCACTTTGCTTCCATTACTGACAACTCCCTGAGTGACCCATTCTTTAAACACATTAACATCTTCAGTTAAGTCTTACCCTGGTCTAACAGTCATCCTCCTTCTTTAAGGGAACTTTTTACATCCTTCTTGAGATTCAGGTCTATTTCTCTTATTTTTAGGTTATTTTTCTTTTCTTTTTTATTTTAGAGAGACAGAGAGTGGGGGAGAGTGGCAGAGGGGGAGAGAGAGAGAGGGAGAGGCAGAGGGAGAGAGAATCCCAAGCAGGCTCCATGCTCAATGTGGAGCCCAACATGGGGCTCGATATCCCAAGACCCTGGGATCATTGCCTGAGCCCAAATTAAGAGTTGGACGCCCAGCTGAGCCACCCAGGTGCCCCTCTTACTTTTAGGTTCCCAAAGAGTATCTTCTTTTTGTCTTAATATATTAGTAACAATAATAGCTAAACTTTTATTGGATACTTAAGTATGTGCCTGACTCTGTTCTAAGTGCCTTCTATGTATTAATCCATTTATCCTCATAACAGACCTTTGAGATAAGAATTACTACTGTCATCATTTTGTAGATGAAAAGTATCCTCCAATATTTTTTCTCTTAGAGTTCCAATCCTTCTCTTGGTTTTCTTTTTTTCTCTGAGGTTGTATGTTTTCTTGTGCCAAGTTTGGAGTGCTAGGATTCATTCTGAGTGGCTAACAAAGGCATTTGTATTGTTAAAATATTTACATGCATTCTGTCCATCTAATTTCGACCTCATTTTATAGATGAGGAAACGGACCCAAAGATATTAAATGACATATCACATCACGCAATTAGTAAATGGCAAGTCTTCCTGACTCTACCATGCTTTCTACTAGGCTATGCTTTCTTCTGCCAGTAAGATAGAGATTCATGGGAAGTTCGAGACCAGTGTACTTTCCACTTTACAACATGACTGTCAGATGAAGGCAGACCCAAGTATGTTTTCTTCATAGACAAGATCAGAATAGCACATAATAAAAGGGTTTTTGCAAAAGAGACAAAATGAACAACTTGTTTCTACTGATTTGCAAAGTGAGGGTTTTAAAAGGAGCAAAAACAAATAGATTGTTTCTCAGCACTTTCAGGATCAAGGTCACACTCCTTGGCTTGGAACACAGGCCCTTCTACAACATACCTGCCTATCTACAGCATCAATGTCACTCTCCATGCTCATCTGTCATTTGAACAAGCTGTCAGTTACCTCACACTCTCTGGCTGTGCCTGTACAGTTTCCTGTGCTTGGATGTCGTTCTCCTTACCTTGTGTGCCAGCTGTACCTCATGTACCTTGAAACTCAGCTCACACATCACTTCCCTGACTTAGATATCTCCTCCCTGCTCCTTGAATAGCATAGTTAATAGAAGGCGGCCTGGGGTTTGAATTCTAGCTCATCTCTTGCTAACATGTATGAGCATGGCCATGTTACTTAAGCCATTCTTTTTTTTTTTTTTTTTTTAATGTTTTTTATTTATTTTTGAGAGACAGTGACAGTGTGTGAGCGGGGGGAGGAGCAGAGAGAGGGAGACACAGAATCTGAAGAAGTCTCCAGGCTCTGAGCTGTCAGCACAGAGCCCAACACGGGGCTCAAACTCACGAACTGTGAGGGGCGCCTGGGTGGCGCAGTCGGTTGAGCGTCCGACTTCAGCCAGGTCACGATCTCGCGGTCCGTGAGTTCGAGCCCCGCGTCAGGCTCTGGGCTGATGGCTCGGAGCCTAGAGCCTGTTTCCGATTCTGTGTCTCCCTCTCTCTCTGCCCCTCCCCCGTTCATGCTCTGTCTCTCTCTGTCCCAAAAATAAATAAACGTTGAAAAAAAAAAATTAAAAAAAAAAACTCACGAACTGTGAGATCATGACCTGCGCCGAAGTCAGACACTTAACCGACTGAGCCACCCAGGCACCCCAACTTAAGCCATTCTAAGCCATTGTTTTCCCATCTGTAAAATGGGAAAAATAATATTGCCCGCCACAGACAGGTTTATCATAGGATTGAATGAAATAATATAATCAAACAGTTTGGGGTGCCTGGCTAGCTCAGAAGAGCATGCAACTCTTGATCTTGGGGTCGTGAGTTCAAGCCCCATCTTAGGTGTAGAGATTACTCAAAAAAAAAAAACGTGTGTGTGTGTGTGTATAAATATCAAACAGTTTACCTAGAACAGGGTTAAAAAATTAGTAAATGGCAATAGCTGTTATTCTCCTGGCTTCTCACAGTCAGTCATATTGTGTTGTATTGTAATCACTGATTTATTTGGAGGATTATTGGCAGGTATTAAATACATAAAATCTTTAAAACCTGTCAGTGATGAGGTATCAGAAATGGCTATGTCAGGATTTTGTGTAATTTTTAAGAAATCTTTAGGATAAATAGGATACAGAATTCCCTGGCTTTGGCTTAGTTAGGGATCTTCCGAAGAGCCCTGGATTTCATTAATTTGAGGAACCATTTAGCTCTCTGCTGCCAGAACATTCATCATTGTACTGCACAGAGATTTCTTCAGTCAGTCTGCCTTTTCCCCCCTCTCAGATCACAGAGTTGAAGGCTGATTTTCAATACCAAGAATCTCAGATGAGAGCCAAAATGAACCAGATGGAGAAGACCCACAAAGAAGTCACAGAGCAATTACAGGTGAGTCTGCCTGTTTGTTTGTTTTAATGTTTATTTATTTTTGAGAGAGAGAGAGAAATAGAACATGAGCAGGGGAGGGGCAGAGAGGGAGAGAGAGACACAGAATCTGAAGCAGGCTCCAGGCTCCAAGCTGTCAGCACAGAGCCTGACATGGGGCTCGAACTCATGAACTACGAGATCATGACTTGAGCCAAAGTCGGACACTTAACCAACTGAGCCACCCGGGTGCGCCGAGTCTGCTTGTTTTATGTGATAACCCTGGTGTATTTAGCTGATTGTATTTTAAGTGATTTATCTCTTAGATTTTTTTTTGTTTGTTTTCAAAATATTGACAAAATCATATTTAATCTACCTTATTAGCTGTCTTTTACTATTTCGTTGTTAGGTGTGTTCTGATCTCTTTCCCTCAAAAACTGGAATTAATAAATGTGCGTTTTGAGTTTTGGATAAGCCAGATGTGATTCCAGATGTCTGGATTATAAATTCTGTTTATCCAACACGTTAAGGCACTCCACGGTTTGTTTCTGTTGCACAAAGCACCCTTTTGTAACAGTGGATCCCAGGAGATTGAAGTGTGCTGATTAACCTCTAGCAAATACTTCCTTCCCCTGAACCAAGCCGTAGAGCTTTCTGTTGATTTCTGCCTCTAGAATTTGTTCTCTTGCTGACCCTTTACATTGTCTGCCTTAGCATCTGCATGAAAAACATGTCCTGTCCTGTTAAAATATCCTTGCACTGATTTTTTTGTTTAGGCCAAAAACCGAGAGCTCCTGAAGCAGGCAGCTGCCTTGTCCAAGAGCAAGAAGTCTGAGAAGTCAGGAGCTATCACCTCTCCGTGAGAGACCATAAGGAGGCTCCCAGCCAACAGCGAAGGGGTTCCTGGGTTAGGGTTGGTGACCTGGCTGTTCTCTGTGAATTGCAAGCTTTCTTAAGAAATCTCTATTTTATTACAGTTATCCTTCTTTGTGGGATTGTGGTGGGCTGAATGGAAACACCTGGTTTATGCTGTGTCATGACTGCATGCTTGGATGTTTGGGTTCCAAGCTCTCTGTCTCATACTCCACTCCCCCCAACCCCACCCCGAGGAGTACTCTCTGTCTCTCTCTCTCTTTTGGCACTACTGTGTGTGTGTGTGTGTGTGTGTGTGTGTGTGTGTGTGTGTGTGTGGCAGTCACTGTTCAGTGTTATGTGCAGAATTTTTTTTTTTTTTTTTTTTTTTTTTTGGTCCATCACATCCTGCCATACCCATGAGCAAATAGTTTGGCATTAATTACATACATATCACTGCCACCCTCTGAACTTTGACAACTGCCACCTTAAGACTTGGTACAACGGAAGAGGCTTTCTCTCTCCAATAAACCTTTTGCTTCAGGGTATACTCTTGGGTTTTTTTCCAGGTATATTATGTATGACTTTGTACTATGTATAGCCAGAGTTTTATTTATTTTTAAAAAAAAAGAAACTTTTTCTTGATAAAGGAATAATGGTAGCCTAGCTTGTTCTTGTAAAAGTGATGCCTCTTAAAAAGAAAAAAAAAAAAGCCCTTCTCTCTACCTTTTAGTAAAGGAATAAGACCTTTCTTGTTACCTTGGAGTCTTAAAAACTGATTGCTACGGTGCAACAATTCAGTGCATCAGTGTGGAGTTAAGTGCCTTTTGGAGGACTTCTTGGAAGAGCATTTAAGGAGATGCTTAGGGGAGGTAGCAAAGATTTGAACAGTCTGTCTTTTTAAGTAAGGGCAGAAAGAAAGGTTGTCCAGGTTTTACTGGACGTTTCCCTCCCCTACCCCTTTCTAGATTGTTTTATGTGACTGATTTTAAATTCTCACACTGCCACTTCTTTTTAAAGAAAAAAAAATACCCTTTACTTATATCGGTCGTTACATTGGGCCATTGTCAGCTTTTTTTTTTTAATGAGCAGATTCAAAATGGATAATATTTGAACTACAGAGCATTTTGGGGGTTAGTACGAGCTGCTCAAGTGTGGACTCTGAGTCTGAGCGGGAGAAATGCTGTCACTGTACCTTCTCCCCCTTCCTCCTCATCCATCCCAGCCTGCACACTCCCTGCTTTTAGTGGGAAAAGGGCGTTTCTTGAAGACAGGTGCTTGTCAGAAGCAGCTTGGCCTCAGCCAGAATTGTTTGTGTCCACCTTTCCCTTCCTGACTGAGCAGGCACATGGGTTTACTTTTCCGGGAGAGGAGATAGATTTGCACTTCTCGCCATTCTCTCAGGTCCTCCATGGGATGTTTGTGAAAGAAATGAGAGGTGTGTGATGTGCCATGAAACACAGTAAAATCAACTACCTTGGAATCATTAATGCAGAGGGGTCCTGAGGCTCGAGGCAACCATGAGGACAGATGAACTTTGTACCTCAGTGCACCAAAATTGTAAGCAGTCAGTTTAACTTGCTAGGCATTTCCTAAAAGCCAGTGCTTGTAATCTGTGATAACATTCTCACAAGTGGAGCCATGCACAGAATTGGACAGAAATGTGGAAATGGGTGGCTTCTTTCTGATAAAAGAAACAATGGACCACGTTGCTCATCTATCACTCTAGTAGGGGAGGTCATTTTCCCTTCCAAGCAAGGGAGACGACAGTGCTAAACACTTTTGTAACTTTTTGAATGAGAAACTTTTAGGTAAAGATAAACTGTCAGATAATATTTTTCAGATGCATTTACGTTTGACTCTGGGGAAAAGATTATGAAAAAAAGTTACAGTCATGGTTTTGGGTTTGTTTGTTTTTTTTTTTAATTTGGAAGACTTGAGAAATTCTGTTTCATGAAGTGACAATGTAAAAACACATACTTAGTTTTATACTAAATCTTTTTTTAAGGTGTTGGCATTTAATACAAAGCAGATTCACACATTTTCTAACTTTCCACAAGTTCCAAAAAGTGAAGGAAGAAACCTCAGTCTTGAAGTTTTGGTTTTTAAAAATCATGACACTGTTTTACCATGAAATTGAGTAGCTAACTTTTGGTAACACCTTTTGTTTATTTGTATGTTTGTATAATGGACACTTTGAAACACAGGAATGTTTTGGTTTGTACAAACTTTGAAAAATGTGTGTTAATAAAAATTCAAATTGAGTCAAGTATTGTTGGGTGATTGATTGATTGATTGATTGATTGCCGGTTTACCAGTAGGCATATCCCATTATGCCCTTCAGCCGAGAAAACAGTTTGTCTTGCTTGTTGACTTAAACAATTAAAAGCCTAACTGTGGTAATAGGGAGCTTCATATCCATCAGAGAATAAACCCATTCTCTTTTTTTCTTCTGTGATTTTATTTTCCAGTTTAAATGCTTGCTTTGTTATAAACGCTATGCTAGGCAATGAGAATACAGCAGTGAAGAAAATTTATTTCCTCATGGGGCTTCTATTTGGTGAAATATTGGACACCACCACTGTTCCTTGATTTTATATTCACCATTGTGAGTCAAAATACAACACCGGATGAATCTTCATAAGGTATGAGTGAGAAGATTTTGAGATACCATCTCAAGGAGAGGAATGTATTAGTTTGAATCTTTGGTGCTGGTAATTTTTAAAATTAATAACAGGTGATTCTCAGACATTGTCACTGCCACATCCTGGTCATTCTGTAGACTCAGCGACAACTTATTTTCTCTCAATAAATTGAAGAAAGTTTTATTTTGTAGGTACTATGGCCTGAATTTGGGGGGGTTCTCCCCCCAAATTGATGTGTTGAAATCCTAACCCCCAAAGACGATAGTATTAAGAGGTGGAGCCTGTCTTTGGAAGGTGCTTGGGCCCTGCCTTCACAAATGGAATTAGATACGTTATCTCTACCACCATGTGAGGACCCAGCTAGAAGGCACTGACTGTGGACCAGAAAGAGGGCCATCACTAGAGCATAACCTGGCTGGCCCCTTGATCTTGAACTTCTCAGCCTCCAGAACTCTTGAGAAATGAATTTCTGTTGTTTACAAGCTATGCAGTCTGTGAAACTTTGTTACAGCAGCCCGAAAAAGAAAAGGCGGTGGAGGGGCGCCTGGGTGGCACAGTCGGTTAAGCGTCCAACTTCAGCCAGGTCACGATCTCGCGGTCTGTGAGTTCGAGCCCCGCGTCAGGCTCTGGGCTGATGGCTCAGAGCCTGGAGCCTGTTTCCGATTCTGTGTCTCCCTCTCTCTGCCCCTCCCCCGTTCATGCTCTGTCTCTCTCTGTCCCAAAAATAAATAAACGTTGAAAAAAAAATTTAAAAAAGAAAAGGCGGTGGTAGGCTACGTTTATGACCATCTTCATTGTGTAAATCCATTTATCCATTTTCTCAGCCTTAAAAATCACTGTAGGGGAAGTATAGAGTATAAACAGAGAAGGATATTTAGTTCTTCAGGAAGGTCTTCAGCCACTCAACCCTCAAAGTTTAGGGCTTTAGTTCCATTCTTTTGGTTTAAGATCATAAGTTACCTGCAGTATAGCTGTCTTCGACTAATGGCCAGCTCAAAGGTCTTGGAGGAGGGGCCGTTTTTGGGAAGGCCCAAACTGTCAGGAGTTGCAGGATATCCTGCTTATTGTTTCTATATAACAAACTACCCCAAAATTTAGTGGCTTAAAGCAAGCATTTAAATATGCCCACAGACTCTGTTGATCAAGAATTTGGACAGGGCACTGTGGGGCTGACTGGTCTTTATTCTACAATGTCTGGGTCCTCAGTTGGGAAGATTCAAAAGCTGAGGGATACTTCCTGGGGCTGGAATCATCTCTAAAGGTTGTTTATTTGTATATTTAGTGCTCGGGCTGGGATTCTGGAAGTCCAGTAATGCTGACTGGAGCACTGACCTGGGACCCCTCCATATATAGCTTGGCCTTCCCCAGCATGGTGGATCAAGGTAATCAGACTTCTTCCGTGGTGGCTCCAGACTCCCAAACACAAGTGAAGGGATTCAGTAAACAAAGCTGCAGATGCATACATTTTCTGACCTGTCCTCAGAAGTCACATTACCTTACTTCTGCAGTACTCTATTGGTCGAACAGAAGTCCATCCAGACTTGAGGGGAGCGGACATAAATCCCTTCTCTTAATGAGAAGATGACAAAGTAGAAGAGCACGTTGAATAGCTATTGTGGTGGCTATCTTAAAAAATACAATCAGCCAAGAAAGGGAGTAGATTTTGGAACCAGACTAAAACCAAGAGAGCAAGGTAGAAGCTGCAATGTCTTTCATGATCTACCTTCAGATGTCACTCTCCATCATTTCTACAATAGCTTACTGGTTACAGAGGTCAAATTATTGACACTATTCAATGTGGGACGGTGTCACCCATGTGGGTACATACCAGGAGGTAAGAATCATTGGGGTCCATCTTGTAGGCTGGCTACCACATTGCCCTTTGGCCTATACGATTGAGTAAAACCTCTAGATTTTGAAGCCAAAAATGAAAGTTATCAATTTGGGGAAAGCAATTCGTATTCCTTAGCTCTTACTGGAATCAATGACTACTTTGCCTACTCCTGTTTGCCAGGTTGTCTCTGCAACAGGGTTATCAATTCTACTTGAAAAGTGACATCGTGTCAGGCTATGGTTAGCTCTGAAGTCAGGCTGCCTGGGTTTGAGTTCTGTCTCTACTTAGGGTTGTGAGGATTAAATAATATAAGAAGTCTTTAGGACAGTACTTGGCACATAGCATGCGCTAGATTTTGCAAGCGATTATTTTGGATGGCTTCTACAGAATCTACATTTTCTGTCTCCTGAGAGGGAAAGTAATAGAGTCACACATTGGAATAAACATGGATGTTCACTTGTTTTTTGCTTCCATTGTTACCTTATCCCAAGATCACTTTTAGGCCCTCAGAACATTCATGCAACCCACAACTTGTATATCCTTTTTGCAACTCCACACTACCCATCTCATGAATGCCACTTCATTGCGCTGGCTCTTCTCACCGCACTGTCTTTTTTTTTAAGTTTAATAAGATATAATTTGCATACAATAAAATTTACCCATCTTAGTAGATAGATTAAGGAGTTTTGATGGATGTATACAGTTGTGTAATCACCACAATCAAGACATAAAACATTTCTATCAACCTCAAAACTGCCCTTATGCCCCTTGGCAGTTAATCCCCTGCCCCCAACTCCATCCCCCCCCCCCCATAACCGTTAATTTGATTTCTATCCCTACAGTTTTGCCTTTTCCGGAATGTCTCATAAATGGAGTCACACAATATGATTGTGTGCCTGACTTCTTTCATTTAGCATATGCTTTTGAGATTCGTCCGTGTTGGGCATGTCTCACTAATCCATTCCATGTTTCAGTAGTCTGATCCTTTTTATAGCTGAATAGTGTTCCATTGTATGAATGTACCACAATTTGTTTACCTATTCAGTAGCTGATGGAAATTTGAGTTATTTCCAGCTTTGGTTTATTATGAATAAAGCTGTTTTACACATTTATGTACAGATCTTTATATAAAAATGTGTTTTCATTTCTCTTGGGTAAAATACCTAGGAATGGGATTGCTGGATCATATGGTAAATTTGTTTCATCTAAAAAACTACCAAACTGTTTCCCAAAGTGGCTGTAAGATTTTGCATTTCCACTAGCAATGTATGATGAATCCTAATTTGAATGCAGCCTTCACTGCAACCTAAGGGAATACTGTATCTCCATTGACCCTTCCCATTCCCTAGAAAGATTACCATATTGGTCATAATGACACTCTATTTTTAAAATATGAAACTTATTTACTGAAGCATAGCATACTTCAGAAGAGGACACATCACATGTATATGACTTGATGAATTTTCACAAAGTAAACACATACATATAATCACCACCCAAATCAAGAAAGACTGCTACCAGCATCTTAGAAGCTCACCTCATGTGCCCATTCCTAGTACTCCCTCTCTGTCTTAAAACTAACTACATACTATCCTGACTTTTAATAAAATGATTTTGCTCATTTTGAATCTAAGAAAAATGGATTGATACAGAATGTACTCATTTTTGTCTGGCTTCCTTGGCTAAGCATTATGTTATTTTTTAATTTTTTTAAAAGTAGGCTCCACACCCAACGTGGGGATTGAACTCACAACCCAGAGACCAAGCGTTGCGTGCTCCACTGACTGAGCCAGTCAGGCGTCCCACTATGTATTATGTTTGCATGAGTTCACCCACGTTGCTCACATAGCAGTAAGACATTTATTTTTGTGTTCTCTAATACTACTACAATTTATCTATCCTACTGTTGATGGACACTCAGGTTATTTCCAGGTGGGAATTAGTAAAAATAAATGCTTCTCTGGCCTTCTTCATAATAGCCTCAAACTGGAAACAGTCCATATGTCCATGAATAAGAGAATGGATGATCAAATTGTAGTATATTTGTATGATAAAATAGTACCCAGCAATAAAAAAGACCAAACCACTGATATATGCAATATCGTGGATAAGTCTCAAAAATCTTATGTTAATTGAAATAAGCCTAACACTAACCAATACATAAAATATGACTCCATCTCTACAAAGTCCAAGAATAGGGAAAACAAATCTGTAGTGATAAAAATTAGAAAGTGATTTCTGGGGATGAGGGAAATTGATTAGAAAGGAGCACAACTTGATAGAGCAACATGCACAAACCTGAAGTTTTTGATGTTTTTGTTTTTGTACAACTCTGACCCATTTGCTACATCCCCCCCCCCCCCCAAATATGTGATAGAAAGGAGCACAGCTCAAGGAAACTTCCCTGGATTATGAGGAAATATTCTATATCTTGATATGGGTGCTAGTTCCATGGATGCATACAAATGTCAAAGTTCACTGATTTGAACACTTAATATCTGTACATGACATTGTATTGTATGTCAATTATAACTCAATAAAAATAAATTCATAAAAATGCTTAGTCCTAAAAAATGCTATTATGAACATTCCTATACTTGGTTTTTGGAACACATAGGTATTCATATCTGTTGAGTATTTAGTTAGGGGTAGAATTGTTGTGTCATAGAATATGTATGAATCACAGCTCTGAACTTAATAGCTGTATAGCATTGGGCAAGTACCCAGAACCTCTACAGAACACCAGATTCCTTATCTGTTACCAAGGAGTTAATCTCACATTGATGGGTGCAAACCATGAGAATTGTTTTTGTCAATTAACAAAAGGACATAATGCAGAAAAATCACAGATTTTCAGAATATTTGCCATTTAAAAGTTCAGTAAGAATGGAATATTCCACTCCTGCCTGGAGGATTTGAGTTACTTTGACACAGAGGAGCAGCCTCGATTTCCAACCCAGGTGCAGAGCTTCAGATAAGGGGTTTCCAGATACAACATTCCACATTTATCCTCACGTTGTAGTTTCCAAGGAAACAAGATCCCGAGTCCTCTTGTTAGCTCAGGCCTGATGATAATCCCCTTACATGTAGCCTGCTGTGCTTTGAGGCTATCAAAACACTGCTTCTTTTCAATTTTACCTACACTCCATCTTTCCCCCAAATCCTAGAATAACTCTATCTCCTCCTGTGCTAGGTGAGATGCCCTGTGATTTCTCTGGTGTGCAGTCTCCCTTGCAGCATTAAGTTGATAAGCCTAAGTTTGTCAGACCACAGGTGGTCTTTATCAGATAGGCTTTATCTTGGGGGTTACCGATAAGAATTGTAAAAGGTGTTCACATTGCCTGGATAGGTATTTAAAAAATGGTAGTTATTTTTTATTATTTATGTATAAATATAATAAATGTGCATTTGACATCTAGTATTTGCAAGACATAAATGTATTGCTTTGGCAGATAGCACACAATAGCACAAGACACAGATAGAAAACCACTTTTTATTGAGATGGAGAAAATACAGGCACCTGGGTGGCTCAATCAGTTGAGTGTCCAACTTCGGCTCAGGTCATGATGTCACAGTTTGTGAGCTTGAGCCCTGCACTGGACTGGCTGCTGTCAGTACAGAGCCCGCTTCTGATCCTCTGCCCCCGCCCCCTGCTCCTCCTCCCCAGCACTCTCTCTCTCTCTCTCTCAAAAATAAAACATAAGAAAAACACAAACAAAAAAACAACAATAACAAAACCCTATGTCTTCAGTTCCTAGGATTAAAAATACCTTTACTGAAGTTCACCTTAAATAGAGTCAAATGTAAATGAAAAATACTCAAGACTTTTTTATAGGTAAAAAAGTACAATTGACATGATTTGCTATAAGATTTGACATATGGATCTAAGAAATGGTAGCGTTTTACTAACCAGAATCAGAGCTTCCAAATGTCATCTGTCCCTTTCTGTACAGAAGGAAATGCTCTTATAAATGCTGCACAGAAACAGCTTTGCTTACAAAATCTCTAAGGCTGAACGCAGGCTTATTCCCTCATTTGGGGTCTCCTCCCAAACAGGCAAACAGCTTCCTCTCTTTGACCTTTCCTAGACATTTCAAAATAGGCTGGGGTGGGGATGGGTGGAGAACTCAGGAAATAAACACTGCCAGTTCCCCCTTCACTTCTCCCTATCTTGATCTCTTCCCAAACCAAAATCCTACCGACGTCTGCCCATTTACGATAAGCTCACAAAATGCAGTCTTCTGTGGGAACATTGAGGTCATACAGTCCAAATAACTTACAGAATGATTTTTAAAATTTGAGAGTCTAGTTCTCCCCAAAATCCTGGTTTGAGATACATAGTAAATTAAGAGGCTATTTGGGAAAGATTTAGATGGAGAATGAGTTTAGGAATATGAGAATGCATTTTAGGGAAGAAGCAACATGAGGATGGAGTTATCTTGGTGTTTGGGTTTTGCAGTCAAATCTCAGAAAAGCAGATTGACTGCTGTGGTCTTAATTTTCTAAGTTTTGCAAAAGAAAAGAACTTACTTTGTCGAATTACTTTGCTTCAACATTAAAAAAAAAAAAGATTGTCTATTATTTATCCCGAAGGTAAAAATATAGTTAGAACATTGTCCCTTGCTATGATAGAGCTTATGAACAGCGAATTGCAGTGAAGATTCATACATAGTATGTTGTCAATAAGAAATATTATCATCGCTTTATTGTTTAGATTAGAAGAGGGGTGGAGGAAGAAATAAAAGCCGTCTGTAAACCATTAAAGTGCTCCGCAAATACTATGAAAGCCCTAGAGGATGGAAGTAGAGTGAGGGATTTCAGGAGTTTGGTTACGGATCTGAGGGTCAAGGTTGTCGAATTCTCCCATATTTGGGCCTGAATCCTCAGACTAGGATGTTAGGGCTGAGATCATCGGTACAATTTTATGCTAATCGAAAATTCTTGCCTCCTGTCACCGTGCTCTGGCGAGCAACAACACTGTCACAGCAGCTCCTCCAATCCGAGCCCCAACCGTATGACGTCATCGCCCCGCCCCATTTCTCCAAAGCGGATGCGTCCTGTCGCTAAGCTACTGTCCCGGGCACCAGATCCAGCGCCGCCTGCGCAGTGGCCCGGGGCGGGACGGACGCATGCGCGCTGCGTGGAGGTGGGGCTAGTGCGCACGCAGCCCTAGCCCCCTCCCCCGCCCTTTCTCTTCTCGGTTTCCCTGTCAGGGTGCGGGTCCAGTCTGGTGGCTGCTTCTGGTAGGAAAGCGCTGCAGGGCGAGTCGGCCTCAGTTCCTCATCATGTCTTACGGTCCCTTAGACATGTATCGGACCCCGGGGTCCTCTGGGCCCCAGCTCCGGGACTTCAACAGCATCATCCAGACGTGCAGCGGCAACATCCAGCGGATCAGCCAAGCCAGTGAGCCGCGGTACAGGGCTGGGGGGCAGGGGCCGTCCCGGGGACAGGCCTGGGTGAGGGTGCCGGGACGCGGAGCCCGGCCGAGGCTACGGCCAAGGCCACACCTGAGGCCATCTCGGGCGCTCTCCTGTGGGGGCGGCGGGTTGCCATCCCCGAGTCTATCAGGCCCAGCCTCCCCGAGGGTCCCGAGCCCCAGCTGAAGCTTGAGTTTCTTCTCTGGTGTTCTCCTCTCACGGTCTTGGGGCCGAAACAGCAGTCCTGACAGCCCTAGGGTGGGAGGGGTGTGTGTGTCACCTCGGGAATAGTGAGTGAGTTGACTTGGCGCAGTGGTCAGCCGAGTTTTTCCTGTCATCCGCCTTCCCCCCACCCACCTCTCTTTCCTCTTTGGCCAGTTTGGATCAGGAGTTGTTTACTGATGTAGATTTTAGGTTTACATTCCGCTCAGCTTCTTGCTCCTTGGAAATTAGCAGCTTTCAATTAAGGGAAGTGGAGAGGGCATGTGTTTGGGCGACTTAATACCCAGCTCTCCCTGTGATGAATTTGGAAATCAGATACAATAACTTGTATTTGAGGGACGAGGTGACTTCTGTTTTAATAAAGAGAATTCACCGAAAACATTTGAATTTACATGATTTTGTCTTTTGTAGCATAAGATGTGCACGTATTTTTGGATTTCAAGCCCATGAAGTTTTTGCATTCCTTCCCGATTTAGCCGCTTTTTTGAACAAATCTCGTACACAGAGAAGCTCAGAGACTTGGCCACATTCACACAGCAAGTAAGACATGACAGAGTTAGTGGCGGATTTCAGAATGTCATTGCTTGTCTTAAAACCACCTCCCCATCATTAGGTTCTGAGTAGGACTGATTGAACTGATTGAGTCAAATACAGCCTGTTTTTTGTGCTTGAAAATCATCTCAGAGCCTTATAAACAGGTCAGCAGCACAACTTGACTTGGAAAGAATCCTCATTTATTATTGTGTTTTTGTGAGCTTGGCTGTACTCTTTTAATAGGTAGAACTCAGCTGGTCCTGAATTATAATTACGTTCTATATAAAGAGGGGGGAGAGTTTCTGATGAAGAGTGTGAGACTGGGTGATATGGAAGTGGAAGGAAGAATAAATATGTGGCCTGTATATTATAGAAATTAAAAAAAATTAATATGACCACTGGTTAGAAAGTAAAGTATTTTGTGTTGTAATTCCTCCTTTTGTGAGGGAGCTGTAATACCAGTTAGGTCACAAGAGTCTGCTTCAAGGCTGAAAGTTTATTGTTGAGGCTAAATGTAATCTTAATGTCTGAAATATTCATCCTACATGGGGTTTTTTTGTTTGTTTGTTTGTTTGTTTTGGGTTTTTTTTGAGTATTAGGCATGTGGTAAGTGTAGGAACTGGCATAGATTCTTTCAACAGGGAGCCTGTGGAGTTGTAACAACTGAAATACAAAGTTGCAAGTGATCAGTACTATAGAAGAGGTATATAATAACATTGTGCAGGTGTTCAGGGGAGAATGATACCATTTTCATTTGGGAGGAACCTGGGAAGGCATTATGGCATTTGAGCTAGGTCCAGAAAGTGGTGGAAAGGATTCGAATTTTAGACAGTAGAGAAGGAAATAAATGCACAAGGCATGCTGGTGGGAAAGTATGGGGTATATATAGGAAAGTAGAATGATTTAATTTGGCTGCGGGAGTGGACTCCAGAAAGTAGCGGAGAATTGGGTTGGAAAAGTTAATTTGGGGCCCAAACCTGAAAGGCTTTAAGTGTTAAACTAAGGGGGCTTGGATTTAATTCTTCAGGAGTATATATATTGAATTGGAAGGGAGAGACTGGAATTAGAGACACCAATTAGGAGCTGTGAAAATGAAAAGGAAGGAAAGGATAGGCTTCTTTGGTAATAGACTTGACAGGATTTAGCTGTTGGTTGGGTGTTGGGCTCAAGGGATCATTGGAGTCAACTGTTAATAACATTAATAGGTTATTTTTGAGTACATACTGTTTGCCAGGCAATGCAAAAAGTGCTTTATATGCATTATCTTATTTTTTTTTTAACTACTCTGTGAAGTAGCTACCAATATTATTTCTTTGTATGGGTTAGGAAGCAGACTGAGAAAGTTTAAATAATTACCGAGCTAATAAATGGCAATACCTGAATTTGGAACCACATCTGTCTCTTATGACCAGTAATTAGCTTTTTTATAATTTTTAATTAATATTACAGTTTGTAGCAGCCCTTCAACTTCCGAGTGACCTTTTTTTTTTTTTTTTAACTCTCCATAGGAAAGTGGGGAATACCTGAGGCCATAGAACTTTCTCATGTGGTGTGTCTAACCTCCCTTGCTAGATTGTTAGCTCCTTTGAAGAAGCATGGGGCATGACTTATTCATCTTTATATTTCTAGTACTTATCTCAGTCCCAAATATATGATAGATTCATACATGTACTGTTCAACAAATATTCTTTGAGCATCCTCTGTGCGCTGGGATTGGAGTGATGAACAAGACAGAATTGCTGCCCTGAGAATGTGTGTGTACCTATGTGTGTGTATATACATATATAAATATCCAGTAATGATTAAATGCCATGAAGAAAATAGGGTAAGGGGATGGAGAATGAAGAGAGAAAGAGGGTGGGTGTTCTGTATTTTAGATCAGATGGTTAAGGAAGGTTTCTGTGAGGAGGTGATATTTGAATAGACACCTGAATGAAGTGAGGGAGAGAGCCATGTGAGTAGCTGGGGGAAGGCATTCTAGGCAGAGGTTATAGTAAGAGCAAAGACCTTAGTGTGTTCAAAGAATAGCAAGGAAGCTAGTGTGGCCGGACTGCAGTTAAAGAAGGGTAGCATAGTAAGAAGTCAGGGACGTAGCCAAACATCTTATCATTTAGGGTCTTGATGCTTTTTTTTTTTAATTTTTTTTAATGTTTATTTATTTTTGACACAGAGAGAGAGACAGAGCATGAGTGGGGGAGGGGACAGAGAGAAAGAGGGAGACACAGAATCAGAAGCAGGCTGTAGGCTCTGTGCTGTCAGCACAGAGTCCGACACGAGGCTTGAACTCACAGACCATGAGATCGTGACCTGAGCTAAGTCGGACGCTCAACTGACTGAGCCACCCAGGCACCCCTAGGGTTTTGATGCTTAATAAATAGTATATTTAAAGTGAATGAGGTTTTTCTACCATCTTTGAACTCTTACTGCCTCAGTTTCCTTGTACTGGGTGGTACCTACCACATCTTATGACCCTAGGCAGCGTGAGTTGGAATTCTTCCCTTAGGGTTGTTAGATGAGGAATGGGGAATTTGAAATTAGTAGGGTGACATTGCTTCTACCCTGTTATGAGGTTGGTGACTTTCCCCAAACCTCTCCCAGACATGGCAGACATACTAAGTATACACTCTCAAATTGAGCTCACAGATGTATACCCATGTCCAGAGAGCCCTGCAAGCACTCTACCCATTGAAAATTTGAGAGAATAGCTATTCTTTTTTCTCAGCTGTCCAGCCACAGATGTAGGTTTGGAATTACTGAGCATATCAGCTGAAATATGGCAGGCCACCATGTGAGTTGATATAAATACAGCTAAGGCTGACTGCCTGGTACAACAAGGGTTGTTATCAGTATGTGTGGGGTACAGAAGAAATATACTTAACTCTGCCTATTACGGAGTGAAGGGTCTGGGCAAGTATTGCTGTGTCAGATATAGGAAAAGACCTAATAGCCTCCAAGTTAGCTTTGCTTCCAAGAGCAGCATTGCTGTTCTTTAATATTGCTTATTTATTGATAACAGTTTTTTAACTAAAAATAAATAAATAAAAGGCAGTTGAATTTTTAAAACTGATTACTGTGAAATCCCATGGGTGGTCTTTCACAGTTATTTTTGCATTTGCCATTTGCTTTTTATTTCATTGCCATCTCGTAAATCTTCATGATGTCAACGTGTATCGCAGCAGCAAACTCTCAGTGTCTCTGTTTCCATTCTTCTTCATCCTGATAATGTATCAGCAGTATGTCTAAAATCCTGGCTTGTTTTGTTTTGTTTTTTTTTTTAATTTTTTTTTTCAACTTTTATTTATTTTTGGGACAGAGAGAGACAGAGCATGAACGGGGGAGGGGCAGAGAGAGGGAGACACAGAATCGGAAACAGGCTCCAGGCTCTGAGCCATCAGCCTAGAGCCCGACGCGGGGCTCGAACTCACGGACCGCGAGATCGTGACCTGGCTGAAGTCGGACGCTTAACCGACTGCGCCACCCAGGCGCCCCTTTTTTTTTTTTTATTATTTTTATTTTTTTTTTTTCTGGCTTGTTTTTTTAAGTATATTTACTTATTTTGAGAGAAAGAGAGACAGCGTGAGTGAGGGAGGGGCAGAGAGAGAGGGAGACAGAGGATCCCAAGCAAGCTCTGCACTGTCAGCGCAGAGCCCGATTCAGGTCTCAAACTCATGAACTGCAGGATCATGACCTGAGCCGAAATCACTGACCAAGCCAGCCAGGCGCCCCTAAAATCCTGTTTTGATTATACCACTCACCTCCTCAAGAGCCTGTGGTGGCTCTCTGTTGTCTGCTGCATCATATCTTAACTTTCTTTGTTTTCACTCTTTGTCATCATTTTTTTTTTTAAGATTTTATATTTCAGCCATCTCTACACCCAAGGTGGAGCTTGAGCCTACCACCCCAAGATTAAGAGGCATTTGCTCTAGGGGCGCCCAGTTGGCTCAGTAGGTTAAGCGTCCAACTTTGGCTCAGGTCATGATCTCACAGTTCGTGAGTTCAAGCCCTGCATCAGGCTCTGTGCTGACAGCTCAGAGTCTGGAGCCTGCTTGGGCTTCTGTGTGTGTGTGTGTGTGTGTGTGTGTGTGTGTGTGTGTGTGTCTGTCTGTCTCTGCCCCTCCCTCACTCACGCTCTCTCTCTCCTTCAGAAATAAACATTAAAAAAATTTAAAAAGAAAAAAAAGAGTCATTTGCTCTACCGACTCAGTCTCTGTCATCTTAACCCAAATTAGC